TGTGGTGGCAATCAGGGACATTGATGATGGTTGCACTGGTTCTGATTGCACAGGCACTGGTGTAGTTAGTGATCAGGAATATTGTTTCTGGCTGCACTGATCTGGTAACATTGTTACTGGTGTGGCAGTGGTCAGGAACACTGTTGATGGCTTACACTGGTCTGGAGACACTAGGACTGGTGTGTTGCTCATCAGGAACACTGTTTCTGGCTTGCACTGGTCTGATGACACTGTGACTGGTGTGACGATAATCAGGAACACTGTTGCCTGTTTACACTGGTCTGGCAACAATGAGGACTGGTGTGACAGAAATCAGGAACACAGTTGCTGGCTTACACTGGTTTGGAGAAACTGACTGGCGTGGCGGTGGTCAGGAACACTGTTTCTGGTTTATACTGGTGTGGAAACACTGGAGACTGGTGTGGCAGCAATCAGGAACACTTTTGCTGGATTACACTGATTTTATGATACAGGGACTGGTGTGGATCAGGAACACTGTTGCTGGCTGAACTGGTCTGGTGACACTGCGACTGGTGTGTAGGCAATTGGGGACACTATGACTTGTGTAGTGGTGATTGGGGACACTGTGAGTTACTGCACTATTATGGTGACACTGGGACTGGTGAGTTGGTGATCAGGAACATCATTGCTGGTTAACACTGGTCTGGCGACACTGGTACTGGTGTGGCAGCAAACAGGAACACTGTTGTCTTACATTGGTATGGTGAAACTTGAATTGGTGTGATGGTGATCAGGAACTCTGTTGCTTGCAGAAAACTTGTCTGGTGACACTGGTTCTGGTGTAGTGGTGATCTGGAAAACTGTTGCTGGCATACACTGGTCTGGCAACACTGGGGACTGGTGTGGAAGCAGTCAGAAACACTTGCTGGATTACACTTGTCTGGTGAAACTAAGATTGGTGTGGTAGAGATCTGGAACACTGTTGATGGTGCACACTGGTCTGTTGACACTGGGACTGGTGTAGCTGTGATCAGGAACACTGTCGCTGGCTTATACTGGTCTGCAGACACTGTGACTGGTGCACCAGTGATTAAGAACTGTTGCTGTTTTACACTGATCTGGTGATAACGTGACTGGTGTTGTTGGGAATCAGAAACACTGTAGCTAGCTGCACTTGTCTGGTGACACTGACTGATGTGGTGGTGACTGTACTGCTATCCACAGCAGATGCAGGGGGTATATACAGTATATATATATATACAGTATATATAATCCACAGAAGTGGGTACACCCCTCACATTTTTGTAAATAATTTCTTGTATCTTTTCATGTGATAACACTGTAGAAATGACACTTTGCTACAATGTAAAGTAGTGAGTGTACAGCTTGTATAACAGTGTAAATTTGTTGTACCCTCAAAATAACTCAACACACAGCCATTAATATCAAAATCACTGGCAACAAAAGTGAGTACACACCCTAAGTGAAAATGTCCAAATTGGGCCCAATTCGCATTTTCCCTCCCCGGTATCATGTGACTCGTTAGTGTTACAAGGTCTCTGGTGTGAATGGGGAGCAGGTTTGTTACATTTGGTGTTATCGCTCTCATTCTCTCATACTGGTCACTGGAAGTTCAACATGGCACCTCATGGCAAAGAACTCTCTGAGGATCTGAAAAAAAAGAATTGTTGCTCAACATGAAGATGGCCTAGGCTATAAGAAGATTGCCAAGACCCTGAAACTGAGCTGCAGCATGATGGCCAAGACCATACAGCGGTTTAACAGGACAGGTTCCACTCTGAACAGGCCTCGCTATGGTCGACCAAGGGAGTTGAGTGCATGTGCTCAGAGATAATATCCAGAGGTTGTTTTTGGGAAATAGACATAGTGCTGCCAGCATTGCTGCAGAGGTTGAAGGGGTGCAGGGTCATCCTGTCAGTGCTCAGACCATGCGCCCCTCAAATTGGTCTGCATGGCTGTATCTCAGAAGGAAGCCTCTTTTAAAGATGATGCACAAGAATGCCCACAAACAGTTTGCTGAAGACAAGCAGACTAAGGACATGGATTACTGGAACCATGTCCTGCGGTCTAATGAGACCAAGATAAACTGATTTGGTTCAGATGGCGTCAAAAGTGTGTGGTGGCAACCTGGTGAGGAGTACAAAGACAAGTGTGTCTTGCCTATAGTCAAGCATGGTGGTGGGAGTGTCATGGTCTGGGGCTGCATGAGTGCTGCCGGCACTGGGGAGCTACAGTTCATTGAGGGAACCATGAATGCCAACATGTACTGTGACATACTGAAGCAGAGCATGATCCCCTAGCATGATTAGCTAGTTCAGCTCTTAAGGCATACCTAGTACGTCCAAAGAACTAAGGGTTATACACAAACTAATGGCTGTGTACCTTGTCTCCTCAGCCGACTCACGTCGTGAAAGTGATCCAGCGGCTCCATAGCCAGCAATCACTTTCACTGTGCAATCAGTGCACATCCACTTGTGATAACAATAAAGGTAAATAAAATAAAAACGGTTAAAAATCTATAATAAAATGTATTGAAAAAATTAACCGTAATCCCTGTTGCCCTTCACACACCCCCAAACGCACACCTGGGGTGTGCACCTGTATATAAACTGCAATAGTACCACATTCGTGAGGTATCCCTACAAACATCAGAGTAACAGCAATAATTCTAGCACTAGAGCTCATAGTTAACTCTAAACTGATGAGTAGCGAAGGCTTTTAAAGTGCCATCTATGGAGATTTTTGGGTACAGTAGTTTTCTGAGATATTATGGGCAACTTTAATTTTAAGACTTGACATGTTTGGTATCTATTCACTCAACACAACCTCATCTTTTATATTTAACAAAAAGTTGGTTATTACATTGTGTGTGTTTGCACTAAAATTAATTTTATATCTTCTCTTGAAAATGTGTGGATATACAGTTGCACAAATATCTAGCAATGGACACAATTGCAACTACTATCTTTTTATTTTACAGGATCTCTGCTTTCCGATCTAAGTAATTTTATAGCCATAAATACAGATTTTTACATGTGTGAAAAAATGAAAAAAAAAATGCTCTAAGGCCAAAATGGTTAAAGTGGTTGCAAAGGCTGAAGGTTTTTTTTACCTTGTATTAGGTAGAATAGCTTCTATTGTCAGCCCTCCCCCCCCCCCAGCCCCCCTAAATACTTACCTGAGTCTGACTTCGATCCAGCACTGTGCTTCAGAGCAGTGGTGCAGCTCTCTCCATCAGGTACTCGCTTCCACTTGGTTGGAGGCCAAACTGACGAGAGAGCTTCCCTTGCGGCTCTGGCCCGAGCACCCCTGAAGGTAGTGACAGAGGTGCAAGGCTCAAAGAAGCATGGGTACCAATAGCTTGGTAGCAGGTAATTGCAAGGGTCAGAGACGTAGTCAGGATGAGCCAGGGTCATACATGATAAGGCAGAAGTGTGGTCAGGTAGCAGGCCGGGTTCAATACCAGAGAAGCAAGCAGAGCAAGGTCCAGTATCAGGCTGAGGTCAGAACCAGGGAAGCAGGCAGAGAATAGTCAGAGACAAGTTAAGGTCGGTATCTAAATCCATAGAGCAAGGTCAGGAATGACTAGCTGGGTCAGCAACGGGAGATCAGCCAGCATAAGCAGGAACACAGGTCATGGGGAAGCTGAATAACATCCAGCGATTAGCACACACCAGGATCTCCTTTAAATAGACCGCTTGGCGCCGATGCACGCTGGTGCACAGAGACACGCTTATGTGTTAGTGCATGCTGGATATTAGCTCATGTGTGCTGATAAATGTGCATGAGCATTAGCTGTAGTATTAGCATTAACATTTGCTTTACTAGTATTAGTCCCCTGATGCTTACTTGAATAATCTCCTTTCATGCATTCTCCCGGTCTGCTGGCCATCTCTTCCACATCTTCCTGGATTCCTTGCATGCTTTGCATCTTCTCCTCTTCTGTTTACTTCCAATTTGTAAGGACTTCATATCCCATGGTACCTTGCTGCTTGCAAAGCAGGGATTCCTGTACTGAAACTCCTCCTCTCAGTACCTCTGCAGTTCAGAAGGCAGACTCTGTGAAATGTGTGACACAGCAGTGCCTACTCACATAATGTAGTGAATACATGTCATGGACTTCAAAGAAGTAAATGTGTGGGGATGCTCTTAAAGTAAGCTTACAAATTTCAAGATCATTCAGATTAATAGGAGTTGTCTAGAAATAATTAAAATACAATATGGAAATGAATGATTTTATATTTTTTGACCATACGCTTTAAAGTGGAAGTAAAGGCAACACCTAATCTAAACCTAATCTAAACCAACTCGCAGCCACATTTTAACCTCTTCCTGTCCGGCCCATGCCAATAAACGGCCAGGCAGGAGTGCTGCTGATGCGGGTGGACATTTCTAAATGTCCCCCCACATCCATTGCCTGTGCCCGCTCCCTGGGAGCATGTGGCACTGCAATCAGTGCCCATTGTGTCCGGAGAACACAGTGGAACACAGATCACTGTATGGGATCTGTGTGATTCATGTGATCAGTGATTGGCCAGTATTTCTCAATGGCTGCAGGAATGCAGCCAGTGAGAAGGAGAAATTATTGCTTTTACAGCCTTTATCAAAAAGCAATCAGTGTAAAAAAAAGAAAACAAAAGTAGTAGTTGAAAATTATAATTTTTGGTTATAAACTAAATTGTTTTTGTTTTGTTTTTTTGTGCTGAAAAGATAGATAAATACACTTTGGCTAAGATTTATGAAGAAAGATTATTTGCAAAATGTTATAAGAAAAAACTTTTCAAACTGTTTGGTCTTTTTCATTTATATAGCAATAAAAATCCAAGTGGTGAATAAATACTACCAAAATAGTCTTATCTGTCTCAAAAAAAAATGCAAAAAAAATCATATGGGTACAGTGTTGCATGACCGCACAATTCTCATTCAAAGTATGATAGCACTGAAAGTGGTTAAGCCTAACCTATCTAGCCCTGTAAAGAAAAAAATTGCTATACTTACCCGTTCTGCAGCCGATCTGGTTTCCAGAGGCATGCTCTGTCAGGGCTTGAAATTTCCACTTATGGTGGGGGGCGAGTGTGTCCCCCAGGGCCGTCTTGCTGAGCAGGCTCGGAGCTCAGGCCGGATCTGTCATTGGCACTGGGAGCCATCAGACTGCTCAATAGCTGAGTGTAGTGAAAGCAAAGCAAGGAGTGTGTGCTGTGCTCTCTGCCTTCCCCTAGAGTGCAGTACCCGGATCTGTCAGTGAACAACGAAGTACTGCAACTTTTTGTGTGTATGCATGTACAATTGTACATGTGTCTGTGTGTGTACATGTGTCTGTGTGTGTGCATGTAGATGTGCGTGTTTGTGTGTATGTACATGTGTCTGTACGTGTGTATTTCTGTGTATGTACCAGGGACGGACGGACAACTCATGGTGCCCCCCTGGGCAATAGGGGATCATGGGGCCCCTGTGTCCTTGCCCAAACTCAAAAAAGCCTATGAAAAAGGTACCAGGGGCATCTCATGGGGCTCCCTACTGGCCCCGGGCCCTCGGGCAGTGCCCGAGTTTCCAAATGGTCAGTCCGCCCCTGGTATGTACATGTATCTGTGTGCATGCGTGTCTGTATGTGTATACGTGTGTGTGTGTGTGTACACGTGTCTCTGGCGTGTGTGTACATGTTTCTGTGTGTGTGTATATGTACATGTCAGTGTGTGTGTACAGGTGTCTGTTTGTGTGTGTTTGTTGGTGGCATGTAACTCTAAGACCTGGCTAGTAGCTCAGGACTTGAAATTGTAAGCCCTGCTCTATGTGCTGGAGACAGTCGGCAATGGCTGGGAAATGCCTGGAAACTGGCATCACTCATAGAGTTACTATGGGGCTTCTGTTGTCACCTACCTCTCCAGCACACTCCAATACGCTGAAGCTGCCGCTGACAGTTCAGTGTGGGACCAGACTGGAGTGGCTGCCGTAAGTATATTGATTTTTTTTTTTTTCAGGGCTAGATGGATTAGGCTCAGAATGTGGCTGAGAGTAGGTTTATAGTTCATTAGGATTTGCCTTTACTTCCACTGTAAGTTGCAGCATGGTTTTTGAGTTATTAAAGAATCTTATGAAAGCATTCTGAAAAGTAACTTAAAGTGATTGTAAACCCTCACCTTGTAAAGCAACCCATTCAGTTTAAAATATAGAAATAAAAGGCAAAACATTTGAGTATAGTTATAAAAACATTATAAATACTTTTTTCCTTTTTTTATAAGTGATCACAATCCCTCTGTCCTCAGCTGCTTAAGAGCTGGGGAGGAGAATCAGCAGGACCCTGAACTTCCCAGTTAAAGGTTGTGCAGGGGGAGAGTGTCAGAACACGTTTGATCTTTGAAGGAAAGCACACTGAGTTCCCAGCATAGTTAAAAGAACTAACCAGATTGTGCTCTTGTGCTTAGTGTGGTCAGTTTGATTTCACACAAAGGAAGCAATACAAAAAGAACAGGATAATTCTTCATACAGGTACAGGGTACAGCAGGCATATGAAATGTTGGGTTTACATATTCTTTAATGAACAGTGCATAGCAGGAGGATGGAATATGATGAAATAGGATCAGTAAATTAGTGAGAGGAAAAGTAGAGTGGGTGGAATAGCATGCACCATTGACGAGGCAGTAAAGTAGATGCTTGAATAGATTATAAGAAAATATCATAGGAAAGGTTTCCCTGCAAAAGTTTGACAGAACCAAGCATTTTCTACTTATTTCTACACTAAGATTCAGTAATTGTCACCTCCGTGAGGAATTTCAATGGTGTGATCTTCATTAAAAATAAGGAGAAAAAAATGAGTAATGAACCATAAAAGCTGCTGTTTTTTTTTTAAATTGCAGTTTACAATATGCATATCACATCTTTCTCCTTACTAAATTCACATTCCATCAGTCCCATTCCTTCTGTCACATCAATTTTCATGAGAGCCGCTACACAAGAGATTTGCAGTAGTACAACTGATTGATCTCATGATCATGTAATGTCACTGTTTAGTCTCTCCTAACAGGAGTTATTGGCGATTAATCTCTCCTTCTATTCCATAGACCTAAAAGAGAATAGGAGATTAATAGCAAAAAAATGGCCCATTTAGGAGACTGTTGAGTGATTTTTTTTTTTTTTTCACAACTATGTATACGCATGTAAAATGAATCCAATGACACTAATCATATGCAATGACCAGGTAGTTTCCTGCAGTATCAATTGATAGTGGTTTTTCACAAGAAGTTTTCCTGAAAAAAAAAAACATTCATGTAGCCCAAATCCTAAGGTATATGCATAGATAAAAATCTTTTTTTAATATAATCTTTATTTTCCTTATACAAACATAAATTAAATGAAAAACAATTCACATTACAAAAAACATAAAGATACATTACTCTTTTTTTTTTAATCTGGATGGACTGTGGAAACAACCCATCAGGTTTTTATTGCTGCCTGTGTCCCCTTTAATGAGATTCATTCTCTCTTTGTCCTGGTGACCATTATCACTGGGACTGAAAGTGATGGAAGGACCAAAATTTGGAGCTTTCATAAGAACGAGGATAAAGGGGAAATCTTTTAATAGCAAAAAATACATTGAGCAGCTTTTAATCTTTCCTATGCCATGCAAAAAAGTTTGGCTATACATACAAAATATTCCAATGTTTGAGATTACCATCTTGTTTATATATACGGTAGATCTTTTAAAAGACAATGAGGCTGGATTACTAAAGAAATTGACAAAAACAATTGAGTACTGTCCATGATACCTTTTTTATTTTCATTAACATTCAAAATTTCAGGACAAGGTTTTGGGGTGTATCCCCTTCATCTAAGGTCTGATTAGTATTTAAGCACCTCAAGAAAAAAAGTATGTAAATATTCACTTAATTTATACAATCATGTAAAAAGCAAATTTCCTAATCACTTTGAATACATGAACAGATCCTTTTCATGTGATTGGATAATTGAAGTGAATATTCACTCAATTTTTTCAGTTTGTATGCTCGACATCTTTAGTAAATCAGCCTCAATGGCATCAAAGTGTGGCAATTAAAGTGACTGTCATAATTTCATGATACCAAGCAGCAAATAATATGAAAGTAGCAGGTCAAGTTGAAAACTCTTTGCCCACTCTTGTCATAAGTGCTAAACAAAAAAAGAAACTACTTTTCTCTGGAATTTTCATTGAAAACTTGGCAACAAAAAGTGTTGAAGGACAACCAACAATGTTTCATAATTGACAGTCACCTCCTTGCTTAAGTATGTCAACTATAAAACGTGTCAGAATATCTTTTACACTGACTACTTGCAGTAAGATGTCAGGTTTTTAGAAAAGTTCCAGTGAGCAGCAGAGGCTATGTGTGGATACTTACTTTGTATAATCCGTTAAAGCTGAATTACAGGTAAGCAACTAAAAACATAGTTAAAATACATTGGAACCTGCCAAATGATATGTAATTCTGTGTAACAGGCCTTTTATTTCCCTTACCAGACAGCACAGACAGGTCCCTACACACCCTAAAAACCCTGTAGGTAACACTGCAGTTGAACAGTACAGACTGGTCTGGTTCCTTCCTCAGCCTCTTTTTGGATGGATTATCTCTGCAATAATTCTGTAGAGAAGCTTCCACTATTGCACAAGCAGCACCATGCAAATCCATACAAACTGCTTGACTTACTTTGCTGCCACTTCATCTCCTAGTCAAGTGCAACTGTGTAGGGGTCTCCAAACTATGGCCCTCCAGCTGTTCAAGTACTAAAAGTCCCATCATGCCTCTGTCTCTGGGAGTCTTGCCTGTGGCTGTCAGTCTTGCAAGGCCTAATGGGACCTAAACACCTGGAGGGGGCCATAGTTTGGAGACCCTGAAGTCGATATTAACCTCCCTAGCGGTCTGATTATGTCCATATTTCTGTGCTCAAAGCGGTACCTTTTTTTGCATGGAAATATGTATTTTTTTTATTGTATGCCTGAAATTTTTAGGAATAACTCACTGAAATCTGTCCGAGCAAGAGTCTAGTAAACATCCCGGGTATGTTAAAATTTGAAACACGAAATCATAAATTATAATTTAATAAATAATCATAAAAAAATAATATAATAATAAATGTAATTCAATAATATAATCAAACCAAAAACACTGAAATTTGAAATATAGTGCCAAGTTCGCACATCAATGAGCAAAGTCGCAAAATCGTTTTCAGTGTCTGATGACGAATTTCCCCACGAATCGTTATCACTCAATTCTGCAAGTAGTTCTAATTTACTATCGCTGTTCTCTAGCTGGCCTAAAACCGATTTTGACCTAAAGGGAAGCTTTTTGGACGCCTTGGACGTTTCTCAGTTTCCAGGCAGAAAGAACAGTAAAAATGTAGGCAGGGCACAGGACAAAGCACTAGGGACAACATGTATGTGAAATGGTTTGATACAGTAATGTTTTACTATATTATTTTAGTGTATTTAGTGAATGTCACTTTGTCATTTTCAAATTCCCTGCCGTTCCGTCCCCGTACGTCCCGACGCTTGCAGGGGATGGAACCCAGAAGACAGATGCCAGCTTCCGCCGGAGGACATTACAGGGGACACTGCAGGAGGGACATCGCGGGAGCGCAGGACAAGGTAAGTGAAGAACAAATCATGGAGCAGTGCCGCATGGTATTCCTGAGTGTAGATCGGAGTTACCGCTTTTGGTACTGCAATTTTACTTTGAGCTACACTCGGGAATACCGCCAGGGAGGCTACAATATAACTATAGACAAATCATTTTTTTTTTTTTTTTAGTTTTGGATAGAGTGGAAAGGGAATAGAAAGCTGGTCAGTTTTTATTGCTGTCTGTGCTGCCGTTAAAGAGATTCACCTTCTCTATTTGTCCTGTTTACCATTATCCCTGAAAATGAAAGTAAAATAAAATCCCATATTTTGGGTTGTCCCCAAAAATGTAATAGAGGGGAAATCTTCAAATGGTGAGACTAGTTGTGGTGACCTGAGGGTCCCCAAGGAATTCCCTTAATTTGCAGGGATTTCCTCTCACTTCCTGTTGTGACTATGAGACAGATGGCAAAAAAAGATCTGACAGGGGCTATAACCCCCCTTACTCTATCCAAAATGAAAACGTTGCCCATAGTTGTACTTGAAAGTGTTACTAAATCCACCACTCAGTCTGTATATGCAGTAAAGCTTGCTTGTCCTACTCACTGTGGAACCTAAGGGGTTCTGTGTAAAAAGGATGTTTGATCCTGTCTTCTCTTATCCTCCCCTTCTTCCACTGTTCCCAATCCATCTGCTGATAGTACAGAGCTCAAGGATTCACTCTGCAGATGCTCAGTTTAGTGTGTATTGCTAGAGAGTTTTTTTTTTTTTTCTTTGGAAGGGTGCATTTGATCAACACAGGGCCAATCACCACTGTCCAGACATAGGTTCAGGGGCTATGCAGTCTCATAGGGCAGTCAGAGCAGAATAAAAACTCTTCCTACAAGCTTTAACTAGTGCTCAGCTGGACACTGATAGAAGTCACAAGACTGCTATAAAATGCCGATGCGAAAAGGTTTTTAGCAGTTGATATTTACTAAATTAATTGCATTTCCTTGTTCTGTGTAATGTGGGAGACCAGATATAGTGATTGCAGAGTCCTAGGTTTATTAACACTTTAAGACAGAATAGGGTGAGTGTGCTAGTCATAAGTGAAAGTCATGATTCTTTTTTAATAAATTCCCGGTTGGATTGAATGCTGGCTTTTAACATCTGTCTATCAGATGTATTGTGTAACTGGCTAATGAAGGAATATGGGGAATAATTGGTCTACAATAATATTTTCATTACTTATTTTATTGTTTGTTTTTCCATTGATTTTCAGTACATTTAAGTACATTTTGAATTTAATGAACCCATAAAAATTCTCTTTTTCATCCTTTTCTTCCAGATAGAAAAGAGAAAATTCAGCAAAGACTCAAATTCAACATATTGTATTTTTATGGTGAACAAGCCCTATGCTATAACATGTTCAGTGGTAGCTTTTTACATTCCTTTTTTTCTTGATGGTACTTGCTTACTACCGAATTTATGTCACAGCGCGAGAACATGCCAGACAGATCGGAGTATTACAGCGGGCAGGAGCGCCAGCAGACCATCGACATCAGCATCCTGATCAGCACACCACTCACAGGATGAAGACAGAGACCAAAGCTGCTAAGACATTGTGCATTATAATGGGCTGTTTCTGCCTGTGCTGGGCACCATTTTTTATCACCAATGTCATTGACCCTTTCATAAACTACAGTGTACCAGGGCAGCTTTGGACGGCTTTTCTCTGGTTAGGCTATATTAATTCAGGGTTGAACCCTTTCCTCTATGCCTTTTTGAACAAGTCTTTCAGGCGTGCCTTCCTCATCATATTGTGCTGCGGAGATGAGAAGTACAGAAGGCCTTCCATACTAGGACAAACAGTTCCCTGTTCAACCACAACAATTAATGGATCCACACATGTTCTAAGGTCAGTACTCTCTATTCTATATAATAATGTTATCAAAACCCCTTATGAACTTGTTTATCCATATGACATGCATATGACTCCTACAGTTCCAATCATCATTCAATCATCAACGGACCTCAGAAACATGGAAAAGGAATAGGTTTCTGCTTAATCCTATGTGGAAAACACCGCAAGTACTCACAGGAAACCAGTCTGGTTTAGCCCTAGGCCTAGCCAGGGTAGCTGTAATTAAAATGTCCAGATTTAAAGCCAAAACTTTTTTTTTTTTTTGTTTGGTTAGAGTATGGAAGGGTCAAAGTCACTGTCAGATTTTTATTGCTGTTTCTCTGCTTTGAAGGGTCACGCTTTCTATTTGTTCAGGTGACAAACTTCCTTTCCCAGGACATTCTGGGAAATAAGACCTTTTCCTCTAGGTAGATTGCTTTTCACTTTTTTGTTGTGTTTCTGTACAAGAATCAAAGGAAATTCAACTCAACGGAACACAGACTTCACGGGTCTCTACCCAGGAACAAAAATGCAGCTTACTATATATTGCAGCTTTTCAGTTCTTAGATACGGTGGCATTAGTTTTGATTTTTAAGGATGAGAATGTTTTTAGTAAGTACAAAAAATGCTTGTTGATCCTGTCAGAAATACAATGTTTTTGTCACTTCCTGCAAGATGAATTGAAAGCAGAAACATTGCTGTCTTCCTTTTCTAAAGTACTAATACCCCATCCTCATATAATAGACATATTTGAAGCTTGAGTAACAACCATGGCTCCCTCTATAGACACAGTGGAGGAGAGAACATTTCCTCCGTATGACAGGAAGTGTGTCATTCACAGGATCACTAGAAAATAATGAGAAAAGTGTAATGAAAAATAATGAAGCCACCACATTAAAGACCGGTAAACTGCAATATATCCTTTTTTTTGGAGTTAACTTTAAAGTGTACATATTTTAAGCCAAAACTTTTTTTTGGTTGCTATGCATAGAGCAGCAGATAAGAGTATAAGGGTTATTTTTTGCTGCCTGTGTTTTGATGAGGATGGGATATGCTCCCTTTAGTCCCTGACCTAGAGAACCAACAGGCTATAAGGGGAGGTCTCTCCAAAATGAATGGAATACACACATTAAAATTTTTTGTTTTGCAGGGATGCATGTCCTAATTGGACGATTTCCCTTCACTTTTGGATCTGGCAACACTAACAATTTGGAATCCCCATCACTTTCTGCTTCAGTAACACTGGTCAAATAGAGGGGTAAATCTTCCCAGTGGGAATACAGACAGCAATAAAATCCCAACGGGGGGCTATCCCCTTCCAACACTAAATAAATGAATGCCTTTACATACATTTTAAAAAAGTACATGGGATTTACCTATCCCTTGCTCTGTACAAAAATTTTGCTTTAGATATACTGTATATAACCTGTAAACAAGGACTGTTATGGTTGATCTGCTTCCTATTTGTCAAGTCAATTATCTTATTATACTGGGTCAGGCCTTGGTTCTGGAACAAGCATGCAGTAAGTGAAGTAACAGTAGTCATAGCACCTGACCTGCATACAGATTCTAGGCCAGTGACTCAGACAGGGTTGAACTTGGAAGATGATTGCAAGGCAAATGACATTTTTAGAAGGAGAGGTCAGCAACAGCAGCCACCATTTTCTTTTTTGGCATAGATTTCCTTTAGGTAAGACTATTTAAACTGGTTTTCCTCATGTAGGATGCAATCGAAAGCAATTCATGCTTCAAATTGGGCTCTGTAAGTAGAAAACAGAAAAAAAAACCCTGAAGTATCATCAAGGACATACAAAGAGCACTTGTATATATGAGCCTTTCATCTCTGAGCTGAAGCTTTGAAAAATAATCTTTTGTAGTAATGTTTATTTGTTTCTTAATTATGTTCAAGAAGAGCCCCAATAATTACCAATTGTATTTAAATTGAACTAATATATAACATTATGGACAATTTTAAAGGGACTGTATCACTACCAAAAAATAAAAAAAACAGTTGCCCGAAAGAAGATACTCCATTACTCAACTGCTCCCAGTGCTCATATTTGTACTCTTACAGAGCTATGGCCTCCAGCATAATCTTAACATCCAACATTTCTGGGAATGACTGATGTCTAGACCCCTATGAGTGTTGTTAATCCATCCTCCGCCCAACATGACTACAGAACACAATAGTGGTGTAGAGACTGGTAGATTAAATAACAATGCCCAGCAAGGCACTCAGATATCTAACACATTCTGAAGTGTTGAATGCGTTCTGCAAGAGTGCAAGAATCTATGGAATGGGCAGTGGGATAAGTGAAAAGTAATGTTCTTGCTTTTAAGCATTTTTTGGTATCAAGGTACAGTTTATGGGGTCCCAATGGGGATCCAGACAAGTTTGATTTTGTGGGGCTCGTCCGTAGTCCTTCTCCAATTGGCTCAGAGTCCCCTTTCCAGGGCATGGGGGATGAAAGTCCTTTTGTCTCCTGAGGCTGAGCCTATACCATCTGAGTCTCCTGAGCCCCCCAAGGACAATCGTATGCTGGAAGATATAGAGCTATCTGATGTGGATGCAGATGAGGATATAGCTACAATTATCATTGAAGAAAGGAAGGAACAAATTGAACCTTCTCCTCCATCTCTTAAAGACACCGCAAGTCCGTAGTCCCATTTTATACATTGTAAAAGATAAATCCCCAAACTGCTGGTGTTTTCTTAAATTTCACATACTTAGCACTCCTTCACTCCTATATTCAATAAGCTTTAAAAGCTGTAGATACTAAAGGTAGAATATTCCTAAGAGTTCAAAATCCATCAGATACTAAATATGTTATGTGCAACAGAGTGAATGGGTTTGTCAAATTTCACAAAACCCATGTGTTCCACTTTTGGTTTTATGCTTTTGGGAGCTATATTCATTAAAATGAACTTGTAATTTGACTACTACCTTCTATGTTCTCAAAGCTAGCCTGAAGGGCACTGCCTCTTGAAGACTGGAATTTAGAAAATACCGTAAATTTTAAGACTTAGTTTAAAGGTGGTAACATACTTTACTGCCAAATTAGTTCTTTTAGGTAAAGAGGGACATGTAATACTTCACTTAATAGAACTCTAAGTGCCAGCTTAGACAATCACTAGTGGCAAGTTCTGTCACAAGGGACATTGCATGCTGCCAAAATTAGCAATTACAAAAAAGTCAATTCAATTGAAACCTACACATTGAGATTCTAATATGTCATTATTGCAGAGTATGTACTGTATATGTATATAAGCCTTCGACAGAGGAAGGGCAGTGTAATCTGTACAGTTAGATGTAGATGGGTGATAAGGCTAGTTTAGAGGGTGCTGAGTACCATTCAGTAAATCTGTAAATTTCTGGATAACAAGTACTGAAATGGGGATTTTGACTGCAGGATAGCTTTAATGAACACTAGTTTTTGACGGGGCAGTCCATCCAAATGGACTGGGATCACTTGCAGAAGCCATTAAAGTATTATTAAGCCCAGGACCCTGCATTCACTATATCTGGGCTCCCACAGTACACACAACACGGAAATGCAATTATTTTAGTAAATATAAACTGCTAAATATCTTTTCTCATCAGCAGTATATAGCAGTCTTGTGACTTCTATCTGTGTCCAGCCCACCACTAGCTAAAGCTTATAAGAGGAGTTTACTTTCTGCTCTAGGAGGATAGAAATCCCCTGACCTCTGTCTGGATAGTGCTGATTGGCCCTGTGCTAATCACATGCACTCTCCCAAGAAAAAAAAAACCTATAATGCAATATACTCCAAACTGAGCATGTGCATGTGACCACGGGTTGAGTCTGTATCAGGTGGTCATTTCAACAAGAGGGGCAGAGAAGAAAGGATCAAACAGCCTTTTTACACAATGCAGAGAATTAACCCCTTAGGTTCCACAGTGAGTATAACAAGCATGCGTTACTGCATATACAGACTGATTTTACTGTTGTGGGTTTAGTAACACTTAAAGTCTCAGCAGGGTTGGATTTTCATGTAGCCACCACACACCCATGACTTATAGCATTATATATTGCATTCTTGTTTAGTCAAATGTCTGAGACTGCTGAAATTCCTGCAAGTACAATACAGTTGTCATAATTATTGCTGTCTTTTGACAGTTTGTATATTATTGTTGGTGGAATAGTGCCCATTGCTGCCTCTGTACGCTGAGAATTAATTTGATTTGATAGGAGATTCATTTTCCTTATTCCTCTAGCCATCAATTCCAGATGTACTGAACCAGAGTTGGCAAACTGTCTTTGACCCACATCTCCACTCCCAGTCTCAATGCACTTTATATAGGCATGATATCTGATCTAGTTTTTTATAATATCAAGGAATGTCAGTAAATTTGGGGGAGGCTTGCTGTTGGTTCAAGGCAATTGTCCAAGGGGACAAGAAGTACAGCATAAATCCAGAACTGTACCCAAAGTAGTACTCAGGAGCCCGAACAGTATGAATTTAACTTTCCAACAGGTCTATCTTCTCTTGGCCACACAAAGAAATACGGAAAGCCCATAAGTTATTAATACATTATTAGAATAGAAGTTTAATAGTACAGATTTAGAAAACACATTTGTTTGGGCTCTTACAGCCTTGCATAGTAGTTTACAACTGTCAGTTGTCATTTTGATTAAATACCATTTAGATCTGTCATTTCTTTTGTGCATACTTGCTTGTTTTGCATAATTACCACGTCTCTGTATCGTTGTGTGCCATCCATGTGTAATATGTTTGTGCAATTGAGTCACTTGCTCTGTTTTGTGTGAGTGACTTATTTTTAAATTCACGTTCTGTTATGCTTCCCACATGCTATATGAAGGGTGACATTTTTTTCCTACAAGCTGCTGTTATATTCATGCTATGCTTAGTTGTCTTTGCTCTTGTTCTTATCCTGGAGTATGTTGCCAGGTGCTGTCAGAACAGTGCAGAATTATCAAGATCAGATACGCATTAATGAATTCAGTACCATAATGTGGCCAGTTAGACTGTACTATCTGTCTTGTCTTCTAAGAATTAGTACTCATACCTCCTCAAATACTAAGTTTATGCATACTTTAAGCTATCAGGTACACTTAAGCTTTATTTTTCTTTAAAAGGGAAATTGTTATGTACACAGAAAACAAGCATTATCATTATAAACAGGCATATAGCAGGCATATTGAAAGTAGCTTTACCAATGTTGCTGAAATTAAAGCACCCTGTAAAAAGAATGAAGTAAATACTTCTCCTGTTGCCTGTGCCACTGAATACTTCTCTATTGTAGAGAAATTTTCCTTTGAAGTGTCAATCTGCTTACAGATACTTCTGGAGGTGTCAATCTGCTGTGTCCCAGTAGTGCTTATTGGCTACTCTTGATGACCTGCTGTGTCCTGTAGTGACATAGTAGCATTGTTGGGGACACAGC